AAGGTACCACATACAAGCGATCGGGCGTCTCTACAGATGTTGGACCGCTTGTATGTAAATACATTTTGACAGTTTCCCGCTTGTTTGCGCTGCCTGGCGCAGGCACAAAGGATGTTTTTAGAGCCCACATCCAAAAGACTCCCGTCCGACCGTCCGGACGGGAGGTGGTTAAATACAGTTACACTTTCAGCATAAAGATGACTATGGCAGCATGACAGTTTCACAGGGAAGCTCTCATGGACTCCAAGCATCAGTTTTCTTAAAGGCATTGCAGAAAAAGAGAAGAGAAAGTACAAACCAGTTTTTTTTATTGCATTTTGCTACTCGGTGAAGAGCCTGCTAATGTGTATCCTTTCCTGAATATGCTAGTTGTCTGCCCGACTGCTCTGGATTCAGACCTGTCTTAGGGCTTGTTCACACCAATTGCGGTGTGTTCCAGGGGGCAGCTGCTGGAACGCACTGCAATCGCTTGCAAAACTTCCCCCTTCATTCTGGGGCGCCCGCAGTGCGATCAGACATGTGGCAAATTGGTGTGAACAAGCCCTTATAACAAGCATGTAGCAAATCACAACTCCTGATCTGCATGCTTGCTCCAAGTCAATGAAGTCAGAGGATCACTCAGAGGCCTCTTTCACACGTGTGTTAAAATCAGGCATTAGAGAAGCATTTTTAAAGCCTCTCTGCTGCCTATTAATGTGCATGTGGGATAATCCAATAGCAACCACCCAGTGCAGTTCAAACATGGGCGTTAGCGTTGTGTTGCTGTGTGTTTAAAAAAAAAGAGTGCATGTCGCACTCTGGATAGGGTTGACACCTTTTCTTCAAGTAAAACCTGAACACTCTAGCCCTGCGCGCAGCAATTTTTCTTTTGAGAATTGAGAGGGGAGAGCGAGGAGAAGCAGCCAAGAGAGGGAGTAAGGAGACAATCTATAGAGGACTACAGCAATACATTATACAGCAATACAAAATAATGTGAAGCTACATACTCTGTGTTCTGGATTGGTGCCCTGATGTCTCTTGGTGGCCTGGTGGCCTGTGCAGGCTCTCAGGAGGATGTACAGGCTCTCAGGAGGATGTGCAGGCTCTCAGGTGGGCAATGCGGCTCTCTGGTGGGCTGTGCGCACCATTTTGTGGGCTGTGCGCACTCTCTGGTGAGCCATGCAAACTCTCTGGTGGGCTGTGCGCACTCTCTGGTGAGCCATGCGAACTCTCTGGTGGGCTGTGCACACTCTCAGATGGACTGTCTGAGATGTGGCATCTCACCAGGGGCTGCAGGCGTGCAGCACGGTGTCAGGGAGCCGGAGGAGGAAATGTGCATGCAGCCTGTGCCTGTTTACAGGCGCCCACAGTTCATAGGAAGATCCGGATTCAGGGAGATCGCACTTGCTAGGGACCTTGGCAGCCGCACCTGTCAGAAAATTTACTGGCTGGAACCTGGACACAAGACTCCAAAACTGGACTGTCCAGGTGAAATCCAGACGGGTGGCAACCCTAATTATGGAGGCATTGCCACTGGACAAATGCCTCCATTGAAGTATATAGAAACTAGGGATGCACCATAACTAGTATCAGTATCGATGCCGAGTATTTGGGAGAGTACTCGTACTCGCCTAAAAGCTACGATGCCTAGCCCGATACCTGAGCTTCTGGTATCAGGAAGCATGTAATGACTTGCCAGGTAGCGTGTAATGACTCGCCACCTAGCTTCCTGATTGGTCGGGAAGCAGGCCAATCATGAAGTCGGACAGCAAGTCATTACCCGCCCCCCGACTTTCGGATTGGCCAAAAAGCCGGCTTCATGCTCCCTCGTCACCTGCACCATGTAATGACGCGTTGCCTGGCTTCCTGATCGTTTTATTTAGCCCTGCAGGTTTAGCTCTTGATCTTTTATTTTTGTTGCCCAATGGTATGCACTTGGTTTTGTACAATGTATTCTTAATATATGTAATCCCACTTCTCTTCAGTGTTCATTGTTAGAAATAATTTCTCACATTTTAGTACCATACACTAGATGGCGCAGCTTATCGAAGTTTGCCTTTAACACTCCCCTACTTGCAGGGTATTTTGCAAGCATTTTTGACGCCACCTTAATGCCTTTAAAATGCTGGATGCCTTGTTAACACTATAGGCGTGTTAATCAGTGTTGCTCTTTCATTAAATTCTCAACGTACATGTGAAAGAACACTAACAGCCTGACAACTATTTCTAGAAGAAGGTTTGCAATGGCATCCTACATATTTCTCTACTAAAAGGTTTCCTTTAAACCCAACTTTCTTACAAGAACAATAAAAAGTCAAAACTGAAACCTCTTTGAGATGCCATCTAACAGTACGACAAGGGTGGCATTTTATTATTCAAAAAGACTCTGTTGGCAAAAAAAAGTGCTGCATGTATAAAGTGGAGGCATAAGGTTGAAGCACATGGAGGTATCTGCACGTACCTGAAACAGACCAAGTCCCTATTGGCTTCCTAGTGACAATGCAGGACCATGTCTGCACAATGTTTGTTGGCGCAGCCATTTGTAGTCTCTACCAGGATTGCGTGTGACAACGACAGAAGTAAAATTAGGAGAAAGCTGTCTCCCCATACCAAGTAGTAGCTGCAGAAGGACCTTCATGGCACAATCACCAGGTATACCTTTAATGAACAACTCTAAAATTACAATAACACATCAAGGCTTTATATGAGATTTTAGTCTTTAAGGCTTTCATTTTAATATGGCTTAGCGCAAACTACTATAATAAAGAGCAAGGCAGACACGTGAAAAGCATACAAAGCATGGCCCTTTCACCATATGTGTGTGCTGTGTAATGGAATATTTGTATTGCTGTTGTAGACACAAAGCAACAGAGGAATATACACTCACTGAAATATATATATATATTTTTTTTTTTTTACAGTTCCTAGTTTTAAATTGTACAGAAAATCAGCCAGACTGTACAGCACTTCTCTCTTGTGTGGGATTCCTGATACATTAAACCTTTTGAGTGCTGGTGACCTTTTTCGTCAACTGTTCGTTTTGCACGGTGCCATCCGTGGAGTTACTGCAAGCACCATCTCTGTGTACTGGTCGGGATTGCTGAAAGGTGTGCGGAGAGCACCCTCACCCTACTGCAACTGGATTCCTGATACATGTTATTTCCCAGCCTCTTATGTGCTTGTGTCATCAAATAACTGTTTCTGATAATGTGTAAACAATTACCTGTATCAGATCATTTCAGAGTTCTCTCTTTAAATACACTTCCCCTATGCAGACAATATTTACTTTATTACATTGCTTCTCTTTCCTTGTTTTAAAGCAGATTTAAACCCAAGAACAAAAATGTAATACATTGCAGCTTGCCACTCCTTAAATGTTGTGGCTGCATAATTTTTTCTTTTTAAAGTTTTTTTTAAATTTTATTTTCACTTGTTGATTTTGCCATTAACACACTCTTAGTCCCATGATCATAACGCTTACTCACCATATTGTATCAGAACAAGAGAAACAGACCAGGACTACTGGAAACCCCTTCCTTTGTGCTTTTTTTTCATGACAGATGGGTGGGGTCCTGTAGTCCTTAGAACAATATAACTGATAACAGTACAGCGCAGGCAGAGAACACAGAAAGTTATGAGCTGCAAGATTTCTGGCAGGATCAACGGGTATTTTCTGCACTTATCAAACAGATATTACAAAAAATCTTTAACAGAAGATTTAATACATGGAAAGGGTATATATAAACGGTATGCTAGCCATACACGGTACAATCTGATTGTACCATCTCTGTATAATCTCCTTTAAATTTACCAAAGCTATGAAATTTCAGGACAAATACAAATAATACATTTAATTTGTGTCAAAGCAGACAGGACCTTGCACTACAAAGTTGACAGGAGATCTAAAGGAGATTGTAAGATAAGATTGTATAGTGCAGCCTTTCTCAACCACGGTGCCTTCTGGTCTCCTCAGGGGTGCCTTAACATTTTCAAACATCATCATGTCTTTCCATAGTGCAGGCAGGACAACCACCAGTGCCATGGACTGATACTAGTCTAGGGAGGGTGGAATCTATTCAGAAAAATAATGGAAGTTCACATATGTCAAGGCCTGCTCAACCTCCCACCCTCTGTCATGTGATGGTAGGAGTCTAATGTGAAGGGGGGACTGAGGACTCTGATATAAAGGGCAGACTGTGATGTAAAGAGGGGACTGAGGACTCTGATATAAAGGGGAGATTGTGATGTAAAGAGGGGACTGAGGACTCTGATATGAAGGGGGTACTCTGAGGTAAAGGGGAACTCTGATGTGAATGGGGGGGGCTGAGGACTTTGATCTGAAGGGGGCTTTTAATGTGAAGGGGGCTCCTGATGTGAAGGGGAACTCTGATGTGAATGGGGAACTCTGATGTGAAAGGGGGGCTACTGATGTGAAAGGGGGGCTGCTGATGTGAAGGGGAACTCTGATGTGAAAGGGGGCTGCTGATGTGAAGGGGAACTCTGATGTGAATGGGGGGCTCTGATCTAAAGGGGGAAGTCTGATGTGAGGAAGGAGTTCTCATGTGAAGGGGGAACGCTACTATTTTTGTGTTTTAGCATGGAGTCACCCTATCTTGAATAAGGGCCTGGTATGGATTTTGAAGGGGCCACAAGTTGTTTTTTTACATTTATGCTTTTTATAGTGCAGACTGGGGTGCCTCAAGTTTTTGCATACTTTCAAAGGGTGCTTGTGACCAAAAAAAAAGGTTGAGAAACACTGGTATAGTGTGAGGTCAGCTTCAACTTACTAAAAACAAACTGACAATCATTAAAACACTTTTAGTTTTGTACCTTGCCTAGTAATAAAATTACAAGATAAATATCCGGTTGTTTATAATGAATGTTTGAGAATCGTGTGTCAGAACTACTACTCTACTAGTCGCAATTAAAATACCTCATTTATGGCTGTTATAATGAGTCATAAAATAAACTTTCTTGAAGATGGGAGTGCATGCCCCGCAGTGACAGATGTCTGAGCCAGGCATAAACCACACCTCTCGCACAGGTATGAATGTGCATACAAGTCTCTTTCTATCAGCTGCTGCTATCAGGTCTGGTAAACACTCCCGAAATGCACTGAGGCACCAAGGAGTGGCTTAAATCTTCAATACCTGTGCGTTCAGAGAAGTAAGTATTAACTCTTCATTGTATTCTACAAACTGTTCAGGTGAGCCTTCAGGTCATTTGCACGGTGCCATGTTGTTTTGGACGCACCATGAAACTGCAAGTGAAATGAGCTGTCATTTTCTGGCAGGACAGGGTAAGTGTAATCCAAATAAACAAATGGCTGAAATCCACAGGCGACACTTCTTCTTATACTGATAGCAGTGTCATTTCACTGTATATAGGTCATGTGTGTGCCCTTATATAAGAATATAATACAATATCCACTAAAAAAGACTATTTAACTTAAAAAAAACAGGATTCAGGGATCACTGAGCTTAACTTCGTGTCCTTGTGAAAGAATTCAGCCCTTTTAAATGTTTAACTTGGGTCATGTGTGCAGAATAGAGATGAAAGTTTATGCTTGGGCTTTGATATGAAACAGTGCGTGACGTGAGAATGTACCATGCACCGTTTTCACTGAAATTGTTCTTTTGTCTGTTTGTCTTGGCGGTTAATTGAATCCCGTTTGGTATGTTTTGCTGAAACAAGAACATTTTTGTGTTGCTCTCTGGAATAAATATGTGCTCTTTATTGAATATCAGCTAATCAGTCAGCATGGTTCGGGTTTTGCAGCAGATCAGGCTGAATCATGGCCATTTCATTTAAGTGAAAACCACGTCATCTGCAGGTCCACCAGCAATTTTTTACTCTGTTTTAGTGACATTTAAAAAAAACATGTGCCCCTACTCCTGCACCTTAATATTAACTTGTTACACCAGGCATATGGTTCCAAAAATATGTGGATCCCTGCAATGCTTTTGCCAGCCCATATGCCCTTCAAAACTGGGCACAGGGGCATCCCTACAATTTTCGCTGCCTAAGGCTGGGTGGGGGCGGGGGTGTTGGTGGCACACATCACCAGGGGTGGAGGAGGAGGCTCTGTCCCACTTCCGGCCCAGCTTTTGGCAGCCAGTGACGTCAGTGAGCTGGGCTGGGTGCTGGCCAGAGCGTCACAGGTTGCTAAGTGGTAACTTAGCAACCTGTGACGCTCTGGCTGGCAAGAGGGCAGCAGGCACACCTGCCGCCCCTCCCCCTCCCCCCCAAGTGACCCAGTGAGATGCCACCTGGGGCAAGACCCTCAGGCTGCCTTATTATAGGGAGGGCCCTGACTTGGCAAGTGCTCTGAAAATGCATCTGCCGGGGAGTCATCCAGGAAATATAGCTGGCCACACACTTTATGGCATGCAGCAGAGATCAGTTTATTAAAGTAGAACTAAAGTGAAAACATTTTTTTTCTTTTTGGATAGAGTAAGGGAGGGAGGGTTATAACACCTGTCTGCTGTTTTGCCATCTGTGTCCCATTGGGGAGATTTCTCTTCACTCCGTGTCCAATAGCCACAACAGGAAGTAAGATGAAACCCCTTCAAGAGAGGGAACTCCCCGGTGGTTAGCAGGGTGACCAGAACCAGTGGCGGAACTACCGCCGGTGCAGCCGGTGCACCGGGGCCTGTGGCTGTGGGGGGGCCCAGTGGGGTCCGGTTCGAACACCGGGGCCTTGCACTGCCGACGGGCATCTCAGTGAGGGTGCAGGTCCTGTGACACACCTCCCCTCCCGGCCGCATCCATAGTAACAGGCAGCGGGAGGGGAGGTGAGTCACAGGAGGCGTGTGTGAAAACTGGGTGGGATTACTTTAAAACGTGTGGCCATGCCACCGGTCACACATTCTAACGTAGTCACAACCTTTGATAGAACACCGCCATCAGGGGCGTATTGCCAGTACCCATGTGAGGGGTCTGGGGGGCCTCTTACATGGGTATCAACTGTACCGGGGTGGCATGGCAGAGGTGACAGTGGAGGGGGGGGAGGAGGCCGGGCCCCAGCAGCAGCAGGTAAGAGGAGGTACAGGGAAAGGGGACCAGACCACCTGGGACCATGCAGAGCCCACCATAGAGAGTCTCAGGTGGGCTATGCAAGAACTAGTGTCCCCATTGAAATATTTCCCATCTATTCCTGTTCTGATGCCAAGCAAACATTTGGGATTTTCTATGGCTTTCACATTTGGTAACCAAGACAAATAGAGATGGTGAATCTTCCTGATGGGGACACAGGGAGCAATAAAAACCTGACAGGTTATCTAATCCCTCTTCAGGGTTTTGTCTTTATCTGTCCAGTTCTAGGTTTTCTGTCAAATGAAAGTGGAAAAAGTGAAAGCTACTATATAATTTAACCGCAGCTTTAAGTATTTACTGTATGTGGAAACTGAACAATGGAAACCTAGCAAAACACTTTGGTCTAGTTACAGTAATGATATTTAAAGATGTGACATCTTTAGCTACCCAGCTTTAACTCTTGATTCCATTTTCTGAAAGAAGATGATACTTGGGCGCATGACAAAAACATATAGAACTATTTTTTTCTTATACTTTTTTAATGAATGGGTGAATGTGGGGATTTATTTTGAATAAAGTATATTTATTTCATATATTTTCAAAGGGTCTCCATGTATTTTAACTTCTTAAAGGAGTTCTAGCCGACCTGTGACAATGAGACTGTCACGGGTCGGCTCAGTAGATCGGGAGGTGAGCAAACACATACCGGCGTTCGCTCACCTCTTGATGCTGTCACGGCTCTCTGCCGTGACAGGGGAGGGGCTGGATATCCCCCTCCCCTCTCCGATCCGCCAGCGCTGACTGGCAGAACAGATGGGGGAGGGAGCGGGTACAGCTGGCTCTGCCTCTAGATAGGCAGAACCAGTTGTTAGTCACACAGCTGGGCAGATCCCGGCACAATTGTCGGGATCCGCTTCAGCTGCGGCGTCTCAGTATACCACGAGCAGCAGCTCGCGGTATACTGCGGCGTCTAAGTATACCGCGAGCTATAGAGGGGTATTTCTTAGTGCATGCCTTTATTAAAGGGTAACTAAGCCCAGAAACAAAAATGTAATATATTGCAATGTAGCGCCCCCTGACTGGGGGAGCAGGAGGAGTTGACCTAGGGGCAGGAGGAGTTGACCTTTCACTTCAGGGATCCTTGGGCATTATTTGGGATGTGAAAAGCAAAATTAGGCCCCAGTCACTTTAAGGACTTTATAATGCTTTATTTTATGAATGGCAAAACAGGGAGAGAGGCTTAGGACTGCAGACATCTAGGATCAAACAGAACTGCAGACTCACCGAATGCTTTCCATCTCCACCATGCAAAAGGCCTTTAAACTTAAAACGTGGTGACACAGTGTTAGAGATCCATAGCTTGTGGACAGACATGTTTGGGTGAGACACCAGACTCCCTGCGAGGTCCAAGCCCATCCTGGCTTCTCTGGTACTTCCAGCATATGAAGTTCCTCCTTGGCTCTCAATCCTAGAAATAAATTCTGACACCAACTGTGTCCCCACCTGACTACCTGTAGGCTTCAGGCCTGATCAGACAACACGCTCATAATGCACCTTTCCCAGGCAGGAGGCCCGGGGAAGAAAGAGACTCTCACATGATTGGACCCAGATATTTATGTCCTCTCGCAGCATGCACCACTGGCCATAAAACTCCTAGTGATTGGCTGAAGAGACATATATATCCATAACATTCTGCTATTGGTTGTTTTGCTCCTTGGCAAGGTTACACCCAGCAACAGGCAGATGCAATCAATGACAGAATCCTTGGGAAAACTAAATAAGTTCAGACTATGCAATCAGGTAGACTGGATACAGTCCTAGCAAGCTAAATTTAAGTAATCACCACGCTTAGGGCAAGATGGTTACACTAGTATACCAATTCTTAGATGTGGTGGATGCATTCGTTTTCTTTTTTTAGGCTTTTTATCCTTTATTTTCACCTGGTGATCAAGAAAGTAAGTTTGTTGTTTTTCAACTTCCATTAACAGATCAAGCTGTCCAGCAAAAGTGGCCATTAGAGGGTTGAGACAAACCACTTGACCCTGACAGGGGTGCTTACAATGGTTATCTTTTCTTAATTCATGTAAAACCATCACAAACACATATACTGACATTATAAACACACAAAGGCCTTAACACTGGTATCTTATATAGTTAAATTTTATTTTGAAGTATGACATTTTATGGAATTATGGGAGAAGAAAATTTGTCCATTTGTCCAGTGGCCCCCACGTGAATTGAGTTTGAGACCCCTGGTTTAGTGGAATGACTCATGCAAGTTGTTTGTTTAAGGCTAGTTCACACCAGCCCCAGCGCGTTCTGGCCCGATTTGCTGCTGGAACGCCCTGGATCGCGTCCCGGGTGGCTCACTGCGTTCTGGGATGGGAGGGGGCATGGTGGTGCATTGAAGTCAATGGCACCGCAGCCACACCCCCCGGCCGCAGTTCAATTGTCCGTTCCAGTCCGGTGCAATCAGAGAAAAAATAGCATGCAGCATTTTTTATGATCGCACTAGACCGGAACGCATGCATTGATTACAGGCGATCGCACTGTGACCTGGGGGTGTGGCTGCAGTGCCATTTACTTTGGGCCGGAACGCACTGGGGCTGGTGTGAACTAGCCCTTACTGTGAGCTGTCAGCCAAGACTCAGGAGTGCAAAATACTTCTCAGCATTAGATGGAAGAACTCATCGGCATAGACAGATGTTTTGTATGCTAAATTGGCTCCTAAACCCCCATCCTTGCCTGGCTTGTTGAAGAGATTAATGAAGGTGGTGGACAGATTTTAACTAGTAACACATTACATATAGTGAGAAAAAATCCTGCTAAAACAGCAAAGTCTATAAATATTAACTAATTATGAACAGTAGTATTCTAATATTTATAAAAGACACATGACATGTCCAGACATTCATTGCTTTTTTTAGTTTTTGTATAGAGTGGTAAAGGGTTAGGAACCCTGTCAGTGTTTCATTGTTGTCTATGTGCCCACTGGACTGTTGTTACTGGAATAAGAAGGGGAAATCTTCAGAGAAGGGCCCATTGTGCCAGTAAAACTGCATTAAAGGGGATTTTCTATGCTTTGGTGAGATTTTCTCTCAATTTCTGATGCGTCTTCAGGACAGGAGGCGAATGGAAATCTCCCTAATGGGAGACAGATGGCAAAAGCAAAAAAGCTTACATGGTTTTTAAACATTCACCATTATATCCAAAACAAAAAAAAATGTTTTATACTTTTAGACAAACATTACGCACATTGTAAACATGTGATAGCAGTATTTAACTCCTAATTGCACAACTGTGTTTTCACTGTAGCCACACATATTTAGCTGTAAATGAAAAAGATATTTTTTTATTTTGCTTAAACACTTACCTATCCCTATTTAAAGCATGCCTGCACTTTGGTGTCCCTTTGCTGCACATCCCCAAACTTCTGGTTGGGAAGTATACAGATTAGACATTAGTTATGTGACCTTTTGTACATATGAACAAGTTAATACACTATTATCTTGAATTGGTAGAATGCACAGTACTAGGGAGATCCCACTGAACAGGGCTGCTGTCAATCAAAGCCCCTAAAGGAGATGGAGGGCAGTGGATTTGAATGAGGACATTTGTGCTGCCCGTGTGTCCGCACACAGAGCGTCGAAGATGTCCTGGCATGAGCCAGGGCCCCCCATGTCAGGGTGGCTCCAAGGAGATCCTGCAAAGCAGGAGAGCCACCCTAGCGGAAATTATAGACAACGATATATATATCTTGTTAATTGTAATTTCAAATAATTGTTAATTGGAACTTCAGGCAAACAGCTAAATACGTGATTCAAATACTCATGTTTACAGCTTTTCCTGCCCAATGAACACAAACCTATGCTTGTCACTGCACGCGTCATTGCATACTTCCCAAAATTGTGAGATGAAAAAAGGGACATCTTCCAGCACAATGTATTTAGGCCATTTGCGGACCATTAAGAATTTATATGCCAAATATAATTGGTTAAACCCAGAATTGTTTTCTTTTTTCACCATTACTTTCCCTTTATACTGGCTTTTTGAAATAGCAAGCAAGATAATTAAGAGATAAGATAAAGGTTTTAGTGCAGAATAACACTTTTAGTAGTTAAATATTACCTTTTCATAGATATCATCAAACCAACAAGAGGGACAACTGAGGAGGAAAAGGGGACAGAGAGATTTGGTTCCAAATGAGGGACAGTTGGGAGGTATGGTCATGGTGCTATTTTCTGATTTAGATCTGCTGCTTTCAGGGTAGGCCCCGGTTCACCAGGCAGAGATAAGGATTCTTATTTGCTGTCCAGTGAGCTTGGAGTTGGAGAGATGACAACGGAAGCTGAATTGTTAAACCACAAAAATTATAGTGCCACCTGTAGGTGCATAAATGATTATCTTTTCAAAATTACAAATCCTTTTCAGATAAAACTGTAAACCTGTTCAATTAAAGTACATAAATTAGGCATTAAATAAATTAGAAACTACAAACAGGGTGTGAAGATAGTAAGAAGAAATGCATATATTGGGCACAGTGATTACAATTGAAGTTTAGTTATATTTTTGGGAGGTATGCAGCACCAGAGACATAACTTACTTAAGTGTCTCCAATGTCCTACTGGCTATTGTTTGGTGTAGAAGTCTTCCCTCCACTGATGCTGGATTCTCCGCACAATGCTGATTTTCCAGCACTGCAGAGGTTACGATCAGCAGTTGCAACTGTGATCCATTGTCGCCTTTCACCCTCCCTTTCCTCTTCTCTCCCTCATTCAACTTGCAGTAAGCTTTCCCAGAATGCAAAGCCTTTTGTGATTAAAGGAGGCGAATGCTGTCCTTCATTCGCCCATCCTCCATTCACAGAACGCTTTGCATTCTGGGAAAGAATACTACCAGTTCTGTGAATAGGGGAGAGAGGAAGGGGAGAGCAAGTGACAACAATGGTTCACAGTTACAACCGCTGATCTTAACCTCCGCAGTGCTGAAAAATCAGCATTGTATGGAGTATCCGGCATCAGTGGAAGGAAGATTACTAAACTAGGCAGCAGCCAGCAGGACATGGGACACACTTCATTGAAGGTAAGTTATGTTTTGAATTGTTAAATATTTTGTCTTTCCTTGTGGCTTTTCTTTTTCTTTCACTATTTTTTCCTGTTCTGCGTCACAAGACAGACTAATGTAAAGTGAGGCGGCCTTCCCCAGGGGAAGTACAGTATTAATGCAAAGAGAAAGTATACAAATATGTAAATATATATATAAATCCCCTTCCTAATAATACCTGAAGTTATTTGTAGTTAACCATTTCAGCCCTGAGCATGTGATTATCCCAGCAAAAATCATGACTTGATAATTTACTATTTAAGTAACACTAACCATTCAATTTCTCTAAAACATGGTTGGCAAAATAAAGTCATAAAATCTTCTTTGCCTGGTGGTACTAGGCTCAACCTATCCTATTCTTTCCTATCATGTCTTATTCTAATTATAAAAGAAAAATTGTGTTTTAATTTCTTATGACAAAAACATTTCAATAAATTAAGCTTTTGCTATCCTAAAAGGACTGGTGTGCTGGTGACATTTCTACAATTTTGCTGTCAATTGAGACAGAACTTACCAACAAGGAGAAACAAAATGCTGTGAATTGTTGAATCCAGTTAGTTAATCCTGAAGGGTGAATTAGACTTCAAATCAAATCCTAAAAAATGTAATTCCATTAAAGACCTTAGATACTTGAAGTTGTTTTAGCTATGCAGCCTGCAAAGCAACACAAAGCCTTTCTATTGTGTGATGCACAGTCCATTCCAGTCACCACACATATATTGGGCCCAGCTGTATAGAATAATGACCATCCAAGGTGCATGATATGAGCTTGCCATATCTTTATGGTCAAACCTAACACATGCACAGGGGCTGGAACATAGTCTGTGGGTGGTCCAGGTGCCACAGGATGGAAATGCTGGGAAGGCCAGGCAGCTGAAACAACTTGCCAGTGACAGAATCACTAAGTTACCACACACCTATTTTAATGAAGATGCTCCCTTACTACCTAGGCCAACACAATGTTGCTCCCTTGCTAGCACGGGGAAAATTCTTAACATTGCAGGTCAGTGAGAGAATGTCATTCCATAGAAGTAAGCAGAAGCCTCTTACAGGTGATTTTGTTGCTGTCAGTGTGTTGTCAGCAGCAGAACTGCCTGTGTGACATCAAAATGTGGTTTGTGGCTGTGGGAAAATCTGTAAATATGGTTTAATTAACATCCGCTTGTAAATCCCCCTTTTGGTTGAAAACATTATTTTGGTATAGCTACATGCATGACTGGAGCTTCCCAATGTACTCTGGAAAATCCTGGTGCTTTCTCACTGCAAAGCGTAATGTGGGAAGTTGTAATATGTGACAATTTCGCTCACTTCTCTCTGCACAGGCCACTGTGGCTAGAGGGTAAAAACTATAAAAGCAGTTCTAGCAGTCTCAGCACTTGCCTTTCATAATTTATCTGCTCAAGGTGTACGAAATAGAGAATGTGTCATCTCTGCCTCAGTTCAGCATCTGTAGCTTAGTGACTCTGAAGTGTGAGGCCTGAAACCCCACAGGTGACCAACATCCTCTGAATTCCCCTTTTACTCGCTTTCCTGTCATGAAGCTAAGGAAAGCGCTTGATACTGTAAGTTTGTTATCCAAGTTATTATTCATTGCCAGAATAATCAGTGATAGCCTTATAGACAGCATTTCCAAAAGGTTGTATTTTTTAAAATTGTCTTGTCATGGCATTTGGAATTAATACTCTTCCTAACACCTTCTTTGCCATTTTTATTTTCTTTCATCAGTCCAAATCCTATTAGCTAAGTTATCTAGAATGTCAGAAGTCAGCAGCAGTGCTGTGAAGTCAACAAACTTATCTGGAGAAAATACATGTCACTAGATCTTGAATGAATACATAGAACACTGTTCTGTGATTTGTGATCTAATGTAAATTAATCTCCCCCATTGGGTTTTTTTTTCTGGATCTTGCATGGGCACTGAACACAAATATATGGTCTGTATTATCCTGCTATTTACACTCCCGGGAGAATTTGCCCAGGAACACTGGTGATTTGGAGTTAGATAGATTTAATTTGGACTTATGGTTTTATTATTAATTATTTATATTATATTAAATATTATTAATTAACTAATTATGCACATTAGGGCACCTTTTATGTGTAATACTATGTTATATATATGTAATATTTGCTTCATTTTCGGCACTATACAACCCTAGTGTACACAGCATTAACATTGCATTGCAAAATGTATGCATTCATAAATTATTCTATGCATTTTGTTTTTTTAGGTATGTAGCATAACTGAAGTGATTTAAAATGGCGAAAAATTCTCTCTTGGAGACTCCAATAGCATTCATGAAAGAATCAATGCACATCACAAGGTATGTCTTGTTGTTCTGTGGATTTGAATAACCTAACCTCTTGAAAGGCACACATACGTCACCTAAAGCTGGGGAAGTAAACACTGGAGACACAGAGCTTAATTTGGAGCTCCAGTATGCCCCCAGTACTCCATAGAGTTATGCTATGCCAGACTACCTGGCTATCTGTGTGTGCTCTGACCAGGCTTTTATTCTGTTTATGGTAATCCTTTTAGTGCTTGGGCCTCAAAGTGCTGACATTGAAAAAACCTTATCCTGCTGTTGCGAGCTAGCATGCATACATGATAAATTTTACACAGGAGCATGACCATTGTAAAATAGTTTTCACTGTGATCTCAAAAAAAGAAATACATCTAAGGGGCAGTCATTCTTGGAATGTTTAGATTTTAAATGAAACCTTACCACAAAGGGCTGCACTATGCACACAACAAGTGAGTCTTTAAAATGTATGTATAGCCAAAACCCTTTTGTTTGTTTTGTAAAGAGTAAAGAAGGTATATGTCCTTGTCAATTTATTTTTCTTTGTCGGTGTCCTGTAGGGAAGATTTACCTTTACCTCCTTTCTTGGACATGCAACAGGAAGTGAAATTTCCGAGGAAATGCCCATTTACTCAGTGGTCAGTCGAACGGGTGTCCCTATTGGAAGATTTACTAACCACTTTTGTTCTGGTGACAATGATAACATTTTGGATGTCCCAGCACTTTCTGCCTCACAACAGTGGTCATCAGGACAAATAAAGATGGTGAATCTAACCAGCAGGGACACAGACAGCAAAATATAACTGACAGGAGGATCTACACCTTCCATACGCTATCCAAAACACAAACAAATTGTGTATATGGGCTCTTTAATCTCTCCCTAGGTCTGCTCCTATAATTTTCCAAGTTTCTGTCCTTCAGACTGGCCTGCTGTCACTCTTTGTGTGAGTGACAGCTTTATGACTGTGAACCCTGTGAAAAATAGCACTGTGCCAATACAAAACATGTCCATGGACACTTCTTAATTAGATGTGTGTATACATATTATTCCGTGCTATAGGTGACTAAATCTTAATATCGGTGCAGGAAGCTGCTGTACTAAAAGGTGCAATTGCAAATGTATATTATAAAAAGTGAACAGTGTTATCAATATTTCAAGGTACTTACAACTACAATGTCTTAATATCTAAAAGTTTCAATTAAAGTGCATCCCCAAAAATATTATAAATAAATAATTAAATCATCCCTTCAATATAAATGTTTCAAATGTTGCAAGTTAAGATTTCCATACATATCTCTCCATAACTGTAATATAAATGAAAATATTAGATATCCAATCCTAAAATTCCATATATAAATAAATATTCAATTTTTCTATATATAAAAGTGATAAAAAAGTCTAACTCTTGCTCCACACAACAATAATGCCTTAATACAATTAAAAGTTCAAATCCTAAAATATCCACGCCATTGGGCTTTCACATTTTTCCAAGTGATGAAAATAAAAAGTGTCACTCTCCCGAAAACTAGAGCTCTTTTATCTGCACTCACCAGAGTGATCAGACGATCAGATTATGTGTGATACAATGTTGCAATTAGGCACAGCTATCTTCCACACTCAGTTTGCTTGATTAGTCTCCACTCACATCGCCATATTAAAAAAGCAAAAAAAAAATGTTCATCATGCAGTAAGAACTTAACAAAGTTTATTAATTATTAAACTTTGAAGATTTAATTTTGCTGAATAGAGTATAAGGAAAGACTTTTGGTAGTTTTTTTTCTCTTCTGTTTGCCAGCCAAAGCTAAGTAGGAGTCATCCAGGAATTGAGTTTCCAGAACAGGATGGTAAGGCTTTTCTATGAGCCTTACCAACTTCACAAAGGGGTTCTCAGGATCTCTGTATCTCGCAACATCATATCATTGGGTAGTGCAAACTACAATGACAATGTGAAAAGTAGTCATTTATGGCATCGTTCAGATGTCGTCACTTTCCTCAGTAGACTACAATAAAGTGGAGTCTCTTTGTTGACTGTGAATTGATGCCATTTTACATTGTCATTGTATCCTGCATTATTACTGAAACCTCTACTTAAAGAAATACAGCGGCTGCCACTGCTGACCTGATTCTGAAAAAATACTAGTTAACTGGATGACTTTAGCTTCAATACCTTTTGAGTCACCAACCCAGAACAAACAGACACTGTAAACTATGCCTATTAAAGCAACTATAACATTTATTATGTATAAAACGCATACCTGCTACAAACAAATAGGATTGTATTATTTCATAGCTTATTACTTGTCCACAAACAAGTGGTCATTTTCAATGCAAAGTTGTTGCTATGCCTTGTATTTTGCATATGTTCCTGGTTACTGTTTATCAGCACAAGGCATGTTGAAGGACGTGTTCAAATACATCCAGGCGTGGAGAAATGCAAATAAACTACGTAAATATATCCAATGAGGAGCACAACTGGGATTTATTTATAGCACTAAAGACTTTAATGTTTGTGCTATTTGCATGTACTTTTATCTTGCACATTTCTACTAAAACCAGCAACAAAAAACACTTGTTAAATAATTTTATCAAGAATTATTGGATATGATTTAAGCTATAATTATGGCAAATATTGTCAACGAAGCCAAAGAATGCAGTGTGGTTAGATGTTGATTTACAAATATTATTTATTATATTATACACTTATTACTGTCTAGCAGGTACATTTTCCATAGACCTCAAACTAGTCAGGGTTTGGTGGACCTATGTAAAGCTTCTGGATAAATGTAATGTAATATTATTTATTATATTATACATTCATTACTGTCTAGCAGGTACATTTTCCATAGACCTCAAACTAGTCAGGGTTTGGTGGACCTATGTAAAGCTTCTGGATAAATGTAATGAGCATAACTGAGCAGAGCAATCATATGATTAAACCAGTATTCTAAATTCTTACTACCACATTAGTCATAATTGACATTCCCTCCAGTGCACGATAAAACAGTTTACATGCAGGGCCCATCAAAATGAAAGAGACTGGAATATACAGCAAGTCAATGACCCAATGACCTTGTGGTCAAGCCCATTTCAGCACATTTAAGTGTATATGTGTGTGTGTGTGTGTTTTTTTTTATATATATATATATATATATATATGTATAAATATATATATATATATATACACACTATCTTGCCAAAAGTATTGGGACACCCCTCCAAATCATTGGATACAGGTGTTCCGTGAAATTTCCTTGCTACTAAATATTCCACGGTCAACTGTTAGGGGTTATATAACAAAGTGGATGCAACTGGGAACAACAGCAACTCAACCACAAAGTGGTAGGCCATGTAAAATGACAGAGCAGGACCTGCGCATGCTGAAGTGCACAGTGCGCAGAAGTCCTCATCTCTCTGCAGAGTCAATAGCTACAGACCTCCAAACTTCGTGTGGCCTTCAGATTGGCACAACAACAGTGCATAGAGAGCTTCATTGAAAGGCTATCCCCCCTTCAGTCTATCTTGAATGCTGCTGCCAGATTAATCCACCTTACCAACCGTTCAGTGTCTGCCGCCCCTCTCTGCCAATGCCTCCACTGGCTCCCATTTGCCCAATGAATAAAATTCAAAATACTAACAACAACATACAAAGCCATCTACAACTCCGCCCCAACCTACATCACTGACCTCATCTCAGAATATCACCCAAACGGTCCTCTCCGCTCCTCTCAAGACCTCCTGCTCTTTAGCTCTCTAATTACCTCCTCCCATGCTCACCTCCAGGACTTCTCCAGAGAGTCCCCCATCCTCTGGAACTCCTTATACCATTCTGTCCGCCTAGCTCCTACGCTGCCCACCATTAGGCAATCCTTAAAAATTCATCTCTCCAGAGAAGCCTATATCATCTCAACATAACTGGCTTTTACTTCCTCCTACTAGATTGTAAGCTCTCACGAGCAGGGCCCTCCCAACCCTATTGTTCTGAAACTGAATTGTATTGTAAATTGTTTTGTAACTGTACTGTCTCCTTCATTTTGTAAAGCGCTGAGCAAATTGTTGGCGCTATATAAATCCTGTATTATAATATATACATATACAGTACACTTCCATTGATCAATTGCAGCTGTATGTATTTTGTTCTGTTAAAATTAAGTGTGTTATTGAGAGGATCATGTTTTTGCATAAACTGTAATCTTGCAAACATTGCTTGTAAAAATCAGAAAAATCAGAAAGATTTGAACTTGACAATGTGAAACCCAGTAATATGAACTATTAGCTAACAAGAAGACAAAGCTGTCAGCACAATAAAAGATGACAGCTGATTGATTGTTCTGATTTAGAATACTTTGTACATGACCATTTTTGCCTTGTTGGCGGAAGCCTACCTCTACATATTAACTCAAATTTTTTTTTTCCTCTTCCAGAAGTCAATTAGATTCACTACTGAAATCCTATAATTGCTATTTCAAGGACCAAAAGAACCTACATATAACCTACCACCAAGTAAGTCCTAATGTATGGATTTGTAGGTGTAAACTCACAATATTCATATTGGTATGTAGCTAACTTAAAGGAGAACTATGAGACTGTCACAGGTCGGCTCAGTAGATCGGGAGGTGAGCGAACACATAGCGGCGTACGCTCACCTCTCGATCCTGTCACGGCTCTCTGCCGTAACAAGGGAGGGGCTGGATTCCCCCCTCCCCGCTCCGATCAGCCAGCCTGACTGGCGGAACGGACGGGGCAGGTACAGCTGGCTCTGCCTCTAGATAGGCAGAACCAGCTGTCACTCACGCAGCTGGGCAGATCCAGACATAATTGTCAGGATCCGCTTCAGCGTCTCAGTATACCGCAAGCAGTAGCTCGTGGTATACTGCGGCATCTCAGTATACCGCAAGCAGTAGCTCGTGGTATACTGCGGCATCTCAGTATACCGCGAGCTGTAGCTCTAAGCTTAGGGTGACGGGAGGACGCTAGTATGTGTCCTCCGTTACCCTAAGGAGGACTATGGGGAAAAGCCTTAACCCCATAGTTCTCCTTTAATATGCCTTTATTTAAATTGGTTTGTGTTCATTTTTATCATTTAACTTCTATTTTCAAAGTGGATCTGACCTCAAAACATACAAGTTTTTCTATCTTTTAGGCAAAGAAATGTTAATTCTACCTAGACAATACCCTTAACTCCTTGCCTCGTAAAATCACGGGCGGACGATGGATCCTTCCCGGCCGGTAGACGTACATGTACGTGATTTTTTTTTTAGCAGAAACCCACCGGGAAGGTTAACAGCCGTTACCGGCTGTTTTATACATGTGTTCGGCTGGCTTTTAAAGCGGCTGCTCGTATAGAGAAGGATGAGATATCAGCATTTCCCACCACTGATCTCTCCCCCTTCTCTCTCTAAAGTCGGAAGCAATTTGTATTACATCACTTCCACCTTTAGCTGTCATTTCTCTGGCTGTGAGCCAGAAAAGAAGCTGATGAAGCAGATCTCTGCTTCATCATCTTCTTTGGGGTTCACTAGGTGATATTAGGGGTCAAAGAGGACCTGTAATTTTTTTATAGCTATTACATTGTGGGCTTTTTACCCCCCAATGTTATAACAATCAAGTAAAGTGTAAAAAAAAAAAAAGTTTTTAAATAAAAAATGAAAGTCTCATATAAAAAAAAAATACACCCAAAAAAGTTTTAAGTCCCCCACACGCACTTGTACACGTAAATACGCGTCGGGTGTGCCTATGTGCGAAAACAACGATTATGCCGTTACATATCGTCGCGAATGTTGCAGTGAGAGCAATAATTCTAGACCCATCAATCACTGATAACACTAAAACGATGAGCGATTAAAGCTTTTAAAGCGTCGCCTATGGCCAATTTTAGGCATGGTAAGTTTTTGCGATTTTGTGAGCGCATGCAAGTTTAAAGCTTGACATGTTTGGTGTATGTTTACCCGACATGACCCCGTCTTTTATATTTTGCAAAAAATTGGGTATTAATAAATGTTTTATTACATAACGTAGGGAAAACAGTTATTTTTTCTAAATTTTCAGTCCTTTTTTAATTATATAGTAAAAAATAAAAACCCCAGTGGTGATTAAATACCACCAAAAGAAAGCTCTATGTATCCCCAAAAAATGGTATAAAATGAATTTCAGTACAGCGATGTATGACTGAATAAATATCAGTCAAAGTACCGCAGCGCTGAATGCTGAAAAATGGTTTTGAGATGGAAGGGGGATTAACACCCCGGTCAGCAACTAGTTAAAGCCCTTTTGCCTTAAATTCCTCCTGAAAAATAGCAATGCATGTGGCTGTACCTAGACACTCCTGTTCTGCAGCCTAATAACTGCATAACTGCAGTGTTACCATCAAGAGAATTGTGTCTGTAATAGTCTCCTGAGATTTGCAATGACATTTGGGGAGTTTACTACTGTGATGCTTACTGTTCTCCATGCTTGAGAGAAAGTTGTACCCGAGAATATGCAGACAAGCATATTCCTGCTTCTGCTTCATTCTGTGGATCTGTGATTCCTCCAGCCCTTACTGCTTTGCTTCTTCATCATCACTGCATTAGTCATCAGATCACCAGTCATTTGGAGGGGAAGCTATGACATGAGGAAACAAATCCCTTTTCCTCTACCAATGTAGCTGCCACCCCACAGAGAATGGCATTTATAAGAATGACATCTCTTGATTGTAAACCCCATTATCAGGAGGTTATATAATGGTACTGGAGATTAAGACTGATTTTGTTCTGACTCACAGTATTGTACCCAGAGGCAAATAGCATTTTCAGAAAGAGAACAGCAGGGTCAGTCTAAATATTTCTCCCAGTACAGATTTCCTTTATTTTATGTATAAAATGGGGTAGGGTATATGGATATTTCTTAAAAGCCAGCAGGTAGCTGGAGGCCAGATCACCAGCCTACTGGAAGCTAATTCAAAGGTATGTTCTGAATTACTTGGAGATAAGACTACACTAAATACTGAACGACTGAGAGAAGGGACTGTTCACAGAGGTAGGACTATGTTACATTACCAGTTTATTTAAAGTCAACGGCATCACGTATTTATAAGAAATGTATTCTAGGATTAGGATCACCAGAAAATGCATTATACAGTATATCTGTTGCACAAATCTAATTATACTTGCATATCAAACTGCAGGAGGTCAAAGGACAAATTGTTTTATCTGGACTTATTGAGATATTTTGGGGAGTACAGCGACCCATACGATTCAAAATGCAAGATGAGAAAAGTATTTCCACAGAATCAATTCAACTTCCAGAGGTCATTGGATCAAGTATAACAAAAAGGTAACTCCTGCTTCTGTAGCTTTATAGCTGCATACGTGCCACGTGACATCATCTAAGATATACCATGCACATTCCTGCTCTGGTGACTTCTATTCTCACGAGATTTGAGGTGTCTTTCTGAGCACTGTAGTGACAGTTGGTGATGTGATTACTGTGCTGCTTATTGTTCTTATGAGGGCTTTCTGTATGGAAAGTTGCAGCTGAGGATCGATAGTGAATTCATTCTATGGATCTATTCTTCCTCCACCTTTCCTACTGCCTGTTGAAGCTTCTCCACTAATGTGTTGCTGCTGTCTGAGGATCTGTTG